GGGGGGGGGGGGGGGTCCCTGTGCACACGTGGCACTGTGCCGCTGCCGGCTCTCTCGTGCCTGCAGCACGTCATCCCACCGGGGCAGTGGGAGGAGGGGGTCCAGGACTGGCGGAAACGTGAAGGCAAACAACTGCAGTGCCGAGAGAAGAGCCTTATCGTAAATCAGCAGCAGCAGCAGCCCCGGGCCCCCGGCCAGCGGGGAGGAAGTGACTGAGCGAGGAAGGCTCCCCGCGGGGCCGTGCGCCGGGCTGGCCGTGAGCCCCCAGTCCCAGCCCAGTCCCCAGTGGGTCCCATCCCTGGCCGGTGGTCCCCTGCAGCCCCCAGCCCCTGGCTGCAGGCGGACCAGAGCCAGGGGCGCTGAGTTTTACCAGCGGACGTGTTTTGGCCGCTGCATCCCCGACCGCCACGGGCCATGCTGGTGGTGTGTGCTGGGTGGGTGTCCGGGATGCGGGGGGTCCCTGGGGACCTCCGGCTGGGGCCTGGCAGGGATGGTCTCCCTGGATGTGTATGGACGGGTGTCTCCAGGATGAGTGTTTTCAGGACGGGTGTCTGCAGGACGGGTGTTCGTGCAGCGAGTGTTGGTGTTGGCGGCGTTGACGGTGCAGGTGAGCGGAGCTGTTCCTTCAGCACCGGTGCTCACCTGGCCCCTGTGCACACCTGCCTGCACTCCTGCCTGCACACCTGCCTGCACACCTGCCTGCATACCCGGCCGGGCACCTGGCCATCGGAGCTGGCAGGACATGCTTTTGCCCATTGCAGGGGGTTGGGAAAGGCAGGCGTGGGCAGAGTTGTTGTGTTGGCCGAACGGGGCCAGGATGATGCCGGCCGGGAAGGTGTCACATCGCATTTCTCTTCCCTTCCCCTGGTTTGCACCGCGGGGCTGTGCAGCTCCGCACCGAGCCCTGCTAGTTTGGGGTCAGCTGGGGACCCGCAGGAGCCACGTGTGTAAGTTTTAGTCTGGAAGCAAAGCATGTCTGCGTGTTTACGGTGTGCAGGCAGCATCGCCTGGGTTTCCTCTCCCTGCGTTCCCCCTCGCGTCTCACCAGTGGGACCCCCGCACCCGCCTGCACCCCAGGACTTTTGCAGGAGGGTTTGCACCGCTCCCCCATCCCGGCTGTCAGCTTGTAGCCTTGAAACAAGGGCTGTGGCTCACGAGGTGTCCCCAGTGCCGCACGCAGAGCAGTGGGCGACCCAGCAAGGAGCACCGTGGAGACCGCTATAAATAAACATGGCATTGCCATATGGATCCCATTTCCTCTCCCGGCCAGCACTGGTGCTCGACAGGAGCTGCCTTACCGGTCCCCTGGGCTGGACGGTGTGGCCGATGCCACCGGTGCTCCCCACCGGTGATGGCAGCCACCCCGCACCGGCGCACGCCTGGCTCGCCTCTGATTAGATACGTGCCTTCAATCAGGCTGATAACCCAAACAAGCTTCCTGTGGGCTGCAAAGCCCTTTTGGGGCCACGCTGGCAATTGCAGCAGGGTCTTATCCTGCACGCAGGAGATAACCCGCCGGGATACGGCTGCTCCGGAAACAATGCACAGGAGGGATGGCAGCCACCGCCAGCGTGCGCGGGCGTGCGATGCTCTGCGGTGCGCGCTCAGAGTGTGCAGAGGGGCTGGCATCCCCCCCGCCGCTCGCGGCGGGGAGCCTCGCGCCTTCCCTGCGCCCTTTGGAGAGATAACGAGAGGGAAATGGGACGGAAAGCTGCTAATGAGGCTCTTGCACGGGGTTTTGCAGCACCCGGGGTTGCTGAGGAACCCGTGCGTGGGAGATGGAGGCTGGGAGGGCATTGGGCTGCTCTCGTGCCCTCGGCCCCACGGCGTTGTGTCTCCTGTGGATGGGGCTCCCCGCTGCGCACCCTGAGGTCTGTGTCTGTCTCCCCGCAGGGACCTGAAGAACAACCTGATCAGCACGGTCCAGCCGGGCGCCTTCCTCGGCCTCCCTGAGCTGAAACGTCTGTAAGTGCCGGCGCAGCCCCCGAGGGAGCACCCGGGGCTGGCCCGGAGGGAGCGGGTGCAACGGGGCGTCCCCAGCCCTGACGGCTCCTCCGCTTGCCTTGCAGGGACCTCTCCAACAACCGCATCGGCTGCCTGAGCGCCAGTGTCTTCCAGGGGCTCCCCAACCTCCTCAGGCTGTAAGTAGCTCCCTGGGGAGCCCCTGGCCAGCCCCATCCCCTGGCTCTCCAGAGGAGCTCCCGGGGCTGCCCCGGGGCATCGCTGGCAGTTTTGCACCCCATGCTGCATCCCGAGGCCAGCTCCTACCCTTTGCCTCCGGCCGGCACATTAAGGGGCTCGTTAAGCTGCGGCTGCCCCGTGCCCACCTTCGTCAGGTGCCATGGTGGGGTGTGCAGGCACAGCAAGGGGCCTGGGAGGTGTTCCGTCTCCCAGCAGGTCCCCGGTCCCCTCCACGCCGCCTTTCTCTTCTGTCCCGCAGGAACATGTCTGGGAACATTTTCTCCAGCCTCCCGCCTGGTGTCTTCGATGAGCTCCCCTCCCTGAAAGTCGTGTGAGTTTGTGCCCCAGGATTTTGGCACCCAGGGGCATCCCTGCCGGAGGGTCTCCGGGCTGGTGGCATGCCCCGGCCCCGCGGGCGCCCCGTGACGCCGGCCCTTGCAGGGACTTTGCCACCGAGTACCTGACGTGCGACTGCAACCTGCGGTGGGTGCTGCCCTGGGCTCGCAACCGCTCGGCGCAGATCTCGGAGCGGACGGCGTGCGTTTACCCCCGGCACCTCCACGCCTTCCCCCTGCGCAGTGCGCGGGAGAACCAGCTCCGTTGCGGTGAGCCGGGGCCGGGGCAGGGGCGGCG